TCGCATAAAGCTGAGATACCGTACGATGGATCGTATGCCGTACGTGCCTCAACATAGCCTGACCAATATATTTTGTTGTTGTGTTTTATTCGAATCTAATTTTATAAATAAATGCTAACCCCATTATGGCGCTGCTTTTAATGTAGGCCTGTGGGAGAGAACTCCGATGTATACTTCACCACAGGTTTAAATCTGCAACTGAAACCAAGCCCAGGTTGTCCATGTTTCAAAATAGGTTCCCCGTGGGAACGCTACAAATAGTCACACGTGGAAAGAGAAAACTTTGATGTGAACAAATTAATGGAATTTGAAAATCTGTATAGAACACCAGGGGTTTTTACCGGGAAGTGAACATACCTTTTGCGTTAGTACAGTATAATTATTTCTGGGGTAGGGGGAAAGATTGGGCGAGAGGAGGGGGGGGGGGCTACCAACTAGATTTGCACTTATCTAGCTCTGTTAGCTCACGCCTTGCTCCTAATACATTATTACGTGAGTTTTGCTCTTATCAGTATTATGCATGTGCTTCGGGCGGTTTGTGTATGTATGGAAATGAGGGTCGTATGAGAAAGGGAAAACGAGGGGGGGGGGGGGGGTGAGGGGGGAGAGAAGGTTCATCAGTGGTCACTAAATTTTTGGCAGAGAACTTAGCTATTGGCTCGGTGTGTCTGTAATCACTAACTACCTCCTTGTGATCTTCCTTCTGCTTATGTAAGTCCTTTTCACCCCTCATCCTCCTCACTCTCAAAAACAGAGCAGTTCCCCGGGACCTGGAACTCGACAAGTATTATATCAGAAATAAGTCCTGCCTCGTTTCCTTTTGAGCGTAATTTGACCAAGCAAGGAACAACAAACCCTACTACCACCCCACCCCCGATACTATCCTTACAAACAGGACACAATATGCAAAGACAGACTTTATCTTCAAGACTTCTGATATCCAGTCGTCGTCTGGTTACCTTTTCTTACCTTTTCATTTGTCTCTCTTTTGATTTTTTCTTCTCTCTCTCTCACACACACATACATACACTCACACACACACACACACACACACACACACACACACACACACACACACACACACACACACACACACACACACATATATATATATATATATATATATATCTATCTATCTATCTATCTATATATATATATATATATATATATATGAAGTGATTCTCATGCTGATGTCTTGTTGTCCAGCCCAGAGTTCTGCTCTCTTTGACAACTTCAGCGTCTGCTTAGAGTTTGTTCATTATTTACACAACTATTGACAATTTTAATCAATAAGGAAGTTGGCTGCTTCAGCAAAGCCTGTTTGGGCCATCCCGGGCTGAGTGGGATACAACATCCACGTAGATAAACAGTGAGTACTGGAGTACAGGAAACATACTCTATAAGATAACTTTTCCAGGCGGTAATCGAACTCATAATATCTTCTGCTTGAAGTGATGAAAAGCCTAACCATTCGGTGCTGTTGTGGTTTGATGAGTTCAGTGCCCTTTCATTTCGGAATGATTGTAAGATTGTAAGAGGATGGACTTCCATTTCAGTGGCCTGACTATCATGGTAGGACCGAGCAGAGCAGGTGAAAGACCATGACAGCTCAAGGCATTTGAGATTTAAGCTCATGTCTCTCACACCCCAGTTTTGTGCTTGTTGTAGTGTGGCCTATACGTCTCTCAAGTAGCAGATCGTTATTTTTCTTCAAC